CCAAAAAAACAAACCCGAAAAAAAAAAAAAACTAAACTAAAACAATTAAAAAACAGTAAACAAAACAAAAAACTAACAAAAAACAATAAACAGCGCACGGTTTGAAACGCAGAGAGACTTTGTGCTTCTCCCTAATCGCCGCAACTTGTTGATACCACTTGCTCTCAAAATCCGCAGTCTGCTGCGTTGCCTGCTGCCAAGCTGCGACCAAGACTCCCAAAATCCAACAAGGGCTGCCTAGTCAAAGCTTCAAACAGTGCCTATTGCCCTTGATGGGGGGCAAGCAATCAGTCTAGGGGGTGCCCGCGGCGGCTCGTGTTACCCTTTTTTTTAATTATTTGCTGGTTTCCAGTAAAATGAAGCCTTTTACGTCATAAATATAGATATGAGCCGCCGTCAAAATCAAGTGTTGATGCTGGCTTGGTACGAAAATATAGGTTATCGCTTTGTGGGAGGGCCCTATCGCTTTACTCTGTTGTGTTCAAATAAACACTAAATAATGCAAAAATGCAGCGGAATTGGCTTCACGGAGTCAGATCTCTAAACTGCTGAGAATGGACTAAGAGGCGCTCTTTGTCTTTGCGTTTGGAACCATGTTGGGGAGCTATCTGAGCACATTCCTAGACTCTTTCCGAAGGAACGACATTTAGTACAAGCTCAACCTCGAACTTAATTAAGATCAATGGTTCCCAACGGTTATAAGATCACTAATTCTATGAAAACGAAAAAGGATCACCTCGCAATTGTCCCTCTTTGATAAGCCATGGCATCAGAAAACGCCACACTTCCCCGCTCAAAAAGCTTTAGAAATTGAAGATGGGACCTCATAGTTCCAATAAAGAAGCATTCGTAGCTATGAAGAAGTGCTTAAGGCTCCCCAAGTCTCAAAACAACCTGATGGCCTAGGGTTGAGAACCTGTTCACTTTTTTGTTGAGTTCTTCTTGTTGGGATCAATTGAGTCTATCCCTCGTCCGGGGGTTCTTTTTCAACAAAAGGTTATCGTTCAGGTTATCGCTAAATTAGAACACCTTGATGATCAAGAAAGGAAAAGAAAAAGGAATGCGGAACAAAAAGGATAATTGAAAAATAAAAGGAAAAAGGAAGGAAAGAACGAGAAAAGGAAACGAAGGAAGAAGAAAGGACAAATCAAACAAAAGGGAAATACAATAAAATCCATGAAATGCAGAATTGGATTCAAAATCAAGTTTGATTTACCTCAGAATTCAAAAGGAAAATAAAAGGAAAGGAAGGGAAGACAAAGAAAAGGAAACAAAGGAATACAAAGTTCAAATTAAAGTAGAGCGCAGAAACGGAATTCAGAATTTGATTTAAAAATATGTTTTAATTTAATTCAGAATTCGGTTGCATTTAGTTCAGTTTAGTTCTACTGCTTTGGGACCTCAAAGAATACTATGGCATTAATAGCCTCCCTCAAACGACTAACAATTGCCTGTGGGATGTTTTATTCCTCATCTCATTGAGCATAGACACTGGCTAAACCTGGAACCATTTTGCTGCGCCTGCGCAAGATGAGAATAGAACAACGACTAAGCGGGTGTAGAACGTACCGGAAAACACTGGTTTTGCACGTGGATGTAGCTAAATTTTGCATTTGCACAGTGTCTCTTCTTCCAATCAGACAGGAAGACTGACCGACACCCTTCTATGCGGGGTTTGCAGTTTGTAGTTTTGAATGCAGGTGCAGCTGTCCGTTCCAGAAAATGCCAGGCTCAGTTCCTGTCGGGCCAAACACCCTGACGAATCGGTTTTCAGCGTTTTTTCAATCACGTTGGACAACAAATGGTATGGCAACTGCAAGAAACGTAGGCACTGCAGGCTGAATTTTCTTCATCAATTTTGCCCGTCGCGTGAGGGTACACACCAATATTTGCTTGGTTTACACCAAGTTTAATGCACTCTCATATACTTACAAGTTATCGTTTTTGGGGGGGGCGGCCTATCGCTTTACATTGTTTGGTGCACTTTCTCAACACAACTGGACCCTCCCTTACTAAAGTAGTCTATGCTTATTTTGACCGCATCTCATATGAATGTTCATGTAGATCTGGCCAGAATCTGGCGATTTTGGATTCCCAGAAACTGACCATCCGCTACTCCGGACGTGCTCAGTCTGGCCAAGTGAGTGGGTTCACCCCTCGTCCATGGCTAAAAGATGGAGAAAATCATGAGACCACTGAATCGAGGGGTATCTCTGAGACAAAATCTGGTTGTGACTAACATAGCCATGGGAAGATCCACCATGCTATTAATAGGTAAACCATCTATTTCTGTGGGTCATTTTCCATGTAGATAATATTAGATCTGGTTGGTGGTTGAGCCCTACCCCTCTGAAAAATATGAAAGTCAAATGGGAGTATGATTCCCAACTGAATGGAAAAATAATCCAAATGTTCCAAACCACCAACCAGAGATAATATATTGTTGCCTCTACCACTCTACATCCCATTCTCCCATCAAATATCCCCATATTGTCGGTTTTATCACTTTTGCCTGAAGACAAAGCTGAAGACAAACCCGAGCAGATTCCGCGCTAGCACTCCTTTTGGGGACCCCCCAACACATCCACGTGGAAGCGTCTGCCATGGTCTGCCATGCATTCCAGCGGTGAAACGAACGCCTGGGATTCACTTGGAGGAAAAGACCTTCAAGGTCCAGGCTGCTCCGGATCTTGTAGGTCCCCACGGTGGAATCCGGTCTGCTGAATCAAAACATGGAGCTTCGGTGGCTGCACATCGATGTTACCATTCACCTAACGTTACCATTCACCTAACGTTACCATTCAGTGGTGAAATTGGTGGAATCCGGTGAAAATTTGGGGATGCACCGCACAAGGCACATCGATGGCATCGAACCACATACTGGATATGATATGCAAAGTGTTTAGATGTTAACTAAGATAATTACGTACTGAGGTGTGTTGCAAAACCTGAGGTCTATAGATTTCATGCATTGCCATTTTCAAAGTGGGAGATAACCCTCAGAAAGAATGATGTCAAGGGGAAAAACAACTGGACATTCATCATCAATGTCGGCGCTGGGGCGTCTTCAAGTACCTTCCATCACAAGGAATAGCTGAACTTCTGAACACCTTGCGAGCGACATTCTTGTGACTCGATGTCAGACCTGACCTATCATGGTACGACATACAGTGTGGGTTATCAGCAAAGCAACAGATTGTGAAAGCCTCCCTTATCAAAGATTGCAACGTGGCATTTTCAGTGTTGCCCATTCCCTCAAGCGACACATCTGACTCATCCCTTGCCATAGCTATAACCAGTGATGAGTACCCTCTGGTAACATGGCTTTGGAAAATATATATGAATCTTCCTATTAAAACCTCCATTTGCTGGGGATTTCCCAACCATGTTTGATTACCAGATGGTATGGCTTATGAATGCTTATGATATGGTTTTTTTTGCCGCAGAATCACTTCTGAAAGATCCCAGTTCACTCGGAAACTCAGGACATCTCGGGACCGGCCATGGGTTGGAGTCCGGCCATCTTTCAGAAAGCAATGGTGATTCAGACACATTCCAAACCCAGATGCTCCATGTGTGGAATATTTACCTACATTTGGTTGATTTTTGGGGTAAATGTAGGTAAATATTCGATACATGGAGCATCTGGGAAATGTTGCTTCTCCAGAAAGCATGAAATTCCGTGCTGCATAGGGCAAGGGAAGCACCGATCTTTCAGTGAATCCTGAATCGAATTGCTTGGTTGACAAGCAGTGAAACCTAGAGAAACCGCTTTTTGCGCAAGCCCAGCGGCACTTCGTGCACGCCGACTGCGTTGGCGGCCAAAGTTGAGCTGTCGAAAACGGCTGAGTCGTCGAAAATTTGTCGCAAAATGCTGGTAGTGGTGCCGCCCCAAAGAATCATCACCATGAAATGGCCGTGAAAATAGGTACTTTTTATAGGTGTAACAATGGTGTAAGCCATGTTCAAGACACACCTACTTTATGACTAACAGTGACTAACATATATTGATATCATCTAATTTCCTCCCAGAAGTTGACCCTTTCAATGCTGCTAAAAGGCTTCGGTCGAGGTTTTTCAGGGGACCCCAGTTGACCCGGTATCAAAATCCTTGGGATTTACCGGATGGATATAGGATGGGAATCCCCCCAATGATGGTCCTGTAGGTATTGACCCGATCTTTGGAAGATGTCTGAATTCGACTCGCTCGACTCTTGCTGTTGCCAAAATCTCATCGGACAGCTGTGGCTTCAAGCCACTTTTCCAGGCCTGCACCAGGCGCTTAGATGTGAAAAGTCAAGTCAAGTCAGGTCAAGTCCGATCATCAATTCACCCCCCAAAAAAGAGTCAGGCAGCCCTGAAAATCGATCTTTTGATTTCAACCTCCCTATGAGGTTTAAATCTGAATCATCTGACAAATGGATACAAATGGGGCGTAGGAGATGATACCATAGGAACGGCTGGATGGACATCAACCGTAAGATCCCCTGAGACCTAAGGGATCTGGTGCTTTGGGTTGCTTGGTTTGTAAGTCTAGGGTCAGATTTGTTTTGTGATCAGCCTGTTAAACCCCCCAAAAAAATCGTCAACTCTGCAGCTGAGATGGAACCTTGGCTCCCTTAAGTTTCAGGGGATTGAACATCCACCAGTCATGTGATTCTTCTGCCATTCCGACATAGCCCATCGACACAGCAGCATTTCCCACCTGAGCATATCTCGTGTGAGGTTGGGCAAGGACTTTTGCGCACGGCGTAGCACCTACGTCGTATGGGTCGGGTCGGGGCCAGCATTAGCGGAAGGACAATTGGGATAGCCGTAGCTGATATGGAGGAAACTCCTAAAATGGGTAGCCGCTATAGCCCACCCTATGTCAAATCTGAATGTGATTTTCGGATATTTTTGGATCATGGATTTTCCATCATAAAGCATCATAAAGCATCTGGTTTCAGAGGTTTCAGGGATCCCCAAACAGAGTCGTGACCTGAGGTGATCAGAACATATCAGAACCAGACCTCCTTGCGCGTGTAGTCGTCCACGCTGTAGCCAGCAGGCCTCAGGAGATCTCACCGAAAACCCGTCAATGTTGAGGAGTTGCATACAGGATGGGGCCCCAGTTCGTTAGATAAGTATAGATAAGTTGGTGCAAATAACTACAATAACAATAGTGTATGATACGTGTATAGTTGTATTAAGATGGGGTTATAAAATGTTATAAAATGTTATAAAAGGTTATAAAATGTTATAAACCAACAAACATAACCGAGGGGCACCATCCTGTATAGGTAAATTACATGAAAAATCAGGAGTCTGACCTTTCAAAATATGAAGATATATGGAGTATTTCAGAAATGAAGATGCAGCAATACAAGTCAGAAACGACACGTTTGCTCATGCTCCAAAGCTTTCCTTTATTCAAAAACAAAATCCTGACACCTGCTATTGTTGAATATTGCGGAAAATCATTCAAGATCTCCCAATGCGCTATGGGCGTGCTTGTGTAGTGAACTATGACAATACATCCGCATATATTCTGGTTAAACTACAATTCACCAACCTGAAAATGGCTGGAATATCACGCCATTTCGGGATCCCCAACTCCAATGTCACAATGTCCATCATTCCAGTGACGGAAAGCCGTGTAGTTTGGATCATCAACACAGATCAGACGTACCAATAGACAGTGATATCCCAAAGATATATATATATAAAAACCATAAAAAAAAACTGGTTTATTGTAAATGGTAAATGGTTTATATCGACAGATAAAAAATCCAGTCGATTGGCTGCATACCAATAGACACCTATCATATCCTCTTGTTGGTGAAATCCTAAAGGTTGAAAGGTGAAAAAAAAGTCTCAGGTTTTTCATGGTGTTGAGTGTAAAATCACCATTTTTATGGCAAAATCCCATTATTTTTTTTTTGGGGGGGGGGTTCGATTGCCACAAAAAAAAACTGTGCTTTTTGGCCATGTCCAGATGGTCGATTGCTTAACCCACTTGGGGTGCAGTTGAGGTTGGAAATGAATAAGCCACATAAGTTGGAATATAGCCTGTAACTATGGTGAAATATAATCCACGTAGAACATCTTATAAATGGATCTGCACTTCCAAGCACCTGTTTTTTATGGGTAAATCTCCAATTTCTTCACTCCAAACTCATCCAAAAACACATTCCTTAGGTCCCCGGACCCTGGCGTATCTGTGGTGGGCCGTGCCCAAGAAGGATACCTGGCAATGCCACGTGGATGCTGCCACAAGTCATGTGGATTGAACTGAGCCAGAGCCCTGAAAAAATTGGAGTCAACAAAAAATGGTGATGTTAAAATCAAACACCATTTTTTTCATTTGACAAACAAGAATTTGGATTTAACATACAGTAAACATGGGGATTGAACCAGGAACAATTGTCGGATTTCAGCACGAACATCGGCATCAACATGTTTTTTGCATGCTGACAGCACCATCCAACATGGGGAGTTGGTGATCTGCATATTAAAACATGAGTTTTTCAACATCATGAGTGCAAGTTAACCACCAGATGTTTCGTAGTTTTCAGGAGGAACTCCCAAAGTACGTAAGCATGTTCCAGATCAAATTGCTTTGCAGGGGATGTTCAGTAGGTTTATGATGGCAACACAATCTACATTGTCCAGCCCACATTGTCATGTTTTTTTAAGATAATCATACTCCACAACAGTGTTTCCTATTGGCACCACTTCTCCCCATGAGCTTGCAGAAAAATCATCATCTTTTTGGTCTAGACCGTCTAGACCCCAGATGTGTTCTTGGTAATGACCGTCATGGTCGGTTGCAACCACGTTCTTCTAGCTTCAATCTCCAATTGTTCATAGTCTTTGCTTTCTGGATGTTTCCACTGGTGAGATCTCACATGTTTGGTAGAATCTTGGCTGCATATACCCATCAAAATGGCGCAGCAAACAAACATATTAGAGATCCCGGTCGATATATAGCTTTAGCTGGGTAAACTAGATATTCCATGTCATTCCCATTTATCAACCAATGACCCATCGGTAGTGCCTAGTTTTTGGATTGGTTGTTTGGAATCCCAGGATAGTTTCGCGAATAAAAATGGGTGCGAGCAGGAATCCAAAGAACCAACCCAAAGTACCCCTTCATCACTCCCATCTGCTCCATGTATGCTATATTATGCTATGATTACCAGCATTTGGGATATTTGTTTGGCAGAATCATAGAAAAGGTATACCAGTGGTTGCTGATAGGAAAAAACTATCCTATATATTGGACTATCCCATATGATACACGAAAAACACACAGAAAAACCTTCCGCCATTGGACTATCCCATGATACTGATTGGTGGATAGGTATCCCTTTTAAAAAAATATGGATGAAAATCATCATTCATATTACATATTCATGAATTAACAGCAATTTTAACCCATAAGTAATGAAATATACATATTCATGAATTATCGTTGGAATAACTGAAAGAGTAAGCCATAATTCAGGGTTACCATAATTCAACAGGGATCATAACCATTAGTTCCATGAAGTATCGTTAGAATAACGCCTATTCTAACCCACCCAAAACAGGGCTACAGCCAACAGGCCTCTTGGCCGAGTGCTTGTCCAAGTTCTCATCCACAATGCGCTCGCGCCTTGGAAGTGATGTTCATGGAATGCCTCTTCCCAGGGATGAGGTGCATAAAAATTCCTCAAGATGTCTAGTTGTATCTAGTTGTCAAATTTGTCGAATCCAGCCAAATTCAGCCCATCTATCTTCAAGTTTTGGAAAAAACATCTGGTTTAATATTTAATTGGCTTTACTATTGGGTTTAGCCCATTGATGGGACTCTACCACTTCAACATTCTCGTACCCCGTTTACAAATCTGTGAGGCAAACAAATCCATCTGAAATCGGGCGAGGCATCTATAGGGTGGGCGTTGGTAATCCCCACTGAACCATAGTTGTTGAAGAAACTAGGGTAGTACAACATAGTACAACTATGAACTATCTTATCCATTGTTATCCCCCATATAGATGAGCCATCTTGAAAAGAAAACAGATAAATCAGATAAATATCTACCATAAACCCTAGCTATTGATAGTTATTGAAGATTAAGTTGCAAGCCAACTTAGCTATCGTTTGGCAATTTGAAAAACAGCTCATGAACCCCTGCAATCTTAGACAACCGGCATCTGTTCTTTTTTGCTGGTTAGATTTAATATACATTCCCCCCTGTGCTGCAAAAGACTAGAGGGCTAAAGTACCACCAAGATTTCCCCAGTAATGTGAAACCTCACATTGATTGCCACGTCCGGCAGCAATCATATTCCAGGGCCCTTGTTTCTGGTCGTGGCAATGTTTTTTAAGGGGCTATCTCTGCTGAACCAACCGGAAGATCCTGCAGATTCGGACGACATCGGAATCCCACGGAACCCCAGGACGTTTTCCATGGAACTGGGCCCTCTTCCCACTGCAAAGTGGCTCAGTTCACTCGGAAATGAAGCCCTTGAGCTGGAGATCATAGCAATCATTGGCTAGAAATATTGGGTAAGTCCTACTAGTGGGGAGCATTCACACCAAAATCGGGCCAACCATGCCATGGTATACCTACTGGTTGGTGGTTTCAACCCCTCTGAAAAATATGAAAGTCAGTTGGGATGATAACATTCCCAAGATATGGAAAAATAAAAGTCATGTTCCAAACCACCAACCAGCCTATAGTTGGCTTTAAAAATCCTTTAAATCAGTATATACCCCCCATTTAAACCTGCGCTTGGCCGTGGGACGACATGCGCACGGCACCCTTCTCGAGGACACTCTTCAGGTCGTAGCGGCCCGGTGCTGGGATGTCGTTCTGGCGAGGGCAGCAATTCTGGAGATTTGGGAAGAAGTTGATACCCAGCAAATTTGATAAAGGGATAGAAATGGATTAATTTTGGGAAACTATAGTAATTCACGAACCTGAAATAAGGCTAAATAAGGCTTCTTCTTGGGAGAATTCCCCGAATTCTAACCACGATTCCAGGTGAGGTCACTTCGTGAGGTCACTATAATTTGCCCAGATGGATTTGGAAAAAAATGGGGAACATCTAGAGGAAACCTCTGGGTTTTTTACCAGCAATGATAGGGGTGTCCTGCAAAGTTTGTCCATCCAATTCTAGGTTTTGAAGCAAAACATTGAATCACCATCAATTTATAGAGGTATGAATTTAATCCCTTCCTTGGATCATAATGACATCTCTAAAATCAAATACCCCTAATGCTTAGCACTCGCAAATATAAGTACATCCAATAGTCAACCAGAGTTCGGGAGGTATTCAATATTAGTGGCAGCGCGAAATAAGATAAAACAAGTAGTTACTCTTGTATACTTTGAAGCACAATGCCACTTGAAATGATACCCAAACAAAACCAGGTTTTTTACATGGTCTTCACATCAATTGCAAGTTCCTGGTGAAAGGTTCGCATCTTTACTGTCGCATACTTCATATCAAGTGTGATGAAAACATAGAGAGAACATATTAATATAGACCTGGCTGAAACGCGTCACGGGTTCGCAATCCAGTTCCGAACATGGGAATGTCCTGTTGCCAGCTTCGGATGCAAAAATCGCTGCCAGCTGTTTTAGGACGGTAGTTCCCTTTTTGCGGTGTTGAAGGGTGTTTAATGCCCATACTGTATTAACCGAAATGAAACTGTGACTATAATGAAAGTATATAATGATATGTTTACTATTGAAAATGGTACTCTATATCATGAAATCAAGATCATCCAAATCTCATACCCTCTGCTAATTTAACATAGCTATGGAAAATCACCATGCTTTTTAATGGGAAAATCTCTATGTTTAAGGGAAAATCCACTATTTCTATGGCCATGTTCAATATCTCACTATCATTTCTAATGGGTAAATCCACCATTTTTAATGGGTAAATCCATCTATTCATGTTAGTCATAACCAGAGGCTACTCCCCAAGAACTTCTCGCGGCGCGGTGGTTTCCCCGGCACCTTGAGCCGAATGCATTCGTCCAAGAAGCTGTCGCGATTGCGCTTGTTAAATTCGCCTTCCAGGAGATAACGCCATGGAAAACCGCTCGTTGGTGCTTGCCAAATCAATACCCTCTGGTAATTTACTGGTGATTTAATGGGATTTAATGGGATCTAATGGGATTTAATGGGATTTAATGGGATCTAATGGGATTTAATGGGATCTAATGGGATTTAATGGGATTTAATGGGATTTATCGTGATTTACCCTCTGGTAAACGTTTACAAAAAACCATGGAAAATCACCATGCTATGAAAACGGGTAAATTTTGAAAATAGCTATGTGAAATTACCAGAGGGTAGCTAAAGTTGGTGTATTGCATTTCTGATTTTGATCTGGTTCATTAAATTTAAATGTAAAAAAGATACGTGAATTAGGGTTGCTAGTGATTACTAATTGTAGTTTCATAGGTAGGTGGGTTAAGAAACCAACAAACAGAACTCGGAAGAACATCCATAGAGCCCTTATCACAAATCAACATGGGGTAACCAGCCCTAATCCAGACCCCATTTACGCAGTTTGACCATTCATGGGTATTAACAACCAAGACATTCCCAAACAAGGAACAAATATGGAGGTATCCTAAAATGCCCGTTTTATCTTATAGGATTTTCCACTACCATCCAGCTATTGGGGTACCATGACTTCGGAAACCCCCAAAAAATTGCTTCCTGATGACTAAGGAGACCAAAAGCCCATCGATTTCGAGCCTTTTGAGATGAAAAGGAAGGGTGGCACAGCCCAAAGAATTAAGGCCTTAGGGCATCTAAGGGGTTCTGAATCCCCAAGCATCCGGTAGGGGGCCACCCATACATGGCAAGTCTTGGGTACCATGGGTACCATGGGTGCACTTCTTGGTTCTGCTTAGTATCTCTCCCTACAAAAGATTCTGTATAAGCTACCTTCAAGCCTCGAAAATGTTGGTTTCTTATGGTATATTACATCTTTAATGACCAGGGTTTTAAGCCTATTCTTCCATGTTGTCCCCATATGGTAAACATCCCCAGACTGTTACCCTTCTCGGCTGCACCTCCACTCGGTTGGTTCAACTTGTCGCCCTTGGACAAAAGGATGGTGTCATAGCCTCACCACGGATGGAGTGACCCATCACTGGAGGATGTGTATCGATCAATGGTATGTATATATACATTATACATATATCATATCTATATATATATGCATATATGGTGGGATGTGAAATTCGCATATAGATGCATATAGTGTTTGATGGCCTAAAATACATTGACCTCAAGCCTATATCGCATCTGGCCCCCTGCTCAATTCATGAACCTAACTCGCCCGAAGTCACCCGTAACATCCGTGTCTAACTCACGCGATTTTGATGTGCTCCATGTATACACACTTGCAAAGGTGATATGCGAAGAAACCATCATTGGTTGGTTTGTTTAATACACTTTGGAGGCCAAATAGGAAAACTGGTTGGTGGTTTCAACCCCTCTGAAAAATATTAGTCAGTTGGGATGATTATTCCCAATATATGGAAAAATAAAAGCCATGTTCCAAACCACCAACCAGAAAACAAGTTGTTGTAAGAACCCTGTCTCATGACTCTCCAAAAGGAGTAGGGAACACAATCAACTGGCATCGGCATGGCCTAGACTTAGATACCGTGCCCCCTAAAAGAAACTCTGGCAAGATGGTATGTACAGTCGTGTATGGCAACAAATGGTTTCTTTCCATTTTACTTCACCCCAAGTTTTCTTATGTGTCATTTTATGTTCCCTTTCAAAATTGAAATTCTTCGGGGTACCCTCTGGTTATGTCAAAAAAGCTATTGAAAGTGGCCATAGAAATAGTGGGTTTTCCCATTAAAAATTGTGTTTTTCCATAGCTATGTTAGTCATTACCAGAGGGTAAACCCATGCTGGTTTACTGGTAAAAGTCACTCTTTCTGATGGTGAAATCCATCCCTGCGACAGGTGAGATCCCCATACTCCCATGATATCCCCAGCTTGTTGGTTGCATCCCCATATATCATGTCATTGTTGCTTGAAGTTTGTTATATCTCATATATATATATACAAATTATTATATATATATACATATTATATATTTATATATACCTATTATATATATATATATACCTATTATATATATATATATGTATATTCATATATTATATATAATATTATATAATATATCCCGGAATGATACCCTCACTCCCTCAGCACCACACTGCCAGGAGCAGGGTTGTGTCGCGTGCCCTGACGTGAGGAATTCTATCTAAAGCCATTTCTTTACCCCAAACGAAAGCCCGGTGGAATGTAGAAGATTGGATCTGTGAATTTGGGTGCCCTGTGTGGTATTGAAGATTTGGGGGGATGAGAGAGTATACTAAGTTTTGCTTCAACAAGGTCTTTTTTGGGCCCGATCTGGTCATCTGTTTGTAAACAGCTACCCCCCTCCAAAACACCCTCCCGACATATAAAAAGCTATGGAAATCTATGGCTGTGTCCGTTGGAAATGATCCACTTTTCAGAAGAGGAGCGGCCTAAAACAATGAGCCATGCCCCAAACCCTTCAATCAGGTTCCCAAGGAACTGCTGGGTTCACGATCCCTTGTGTTTGGTGAAAAATCACCATGTTTTGGTGCTTCAAAATTCAAAACCATGTGTTTTGTTGGTCAAATCCTAATTCTTGTTCATGATCCCCATATCTTGCAAGTAAAATCCCGATGTTTCTTTTTCTTGATCTCCAACTACTGTACCATTTTCAGGCCTTGTCCCACTTGTAAAGACACAAAAAAATATGCAAGAACATCTGTTCATGGCGGTCGATATCTTCCTCGTTTTAGTTTGCTAAGGTGTTCGTGATTCATATGTACATCAATGATGTTCAATTTCAATGGATATTTCGGTATGTGTAGTTTAGATAAGTCTATACATCAAATCGATTCCAATTCCGATTGAAACAATGTAAATCTCATATTTTCTATATGCAAATCATGCATATGGCCAGTATAGGAGTCCCCCAAAAAATGCCGAGGTCCAAAGATGTTTTTCCAAATTTTGAATTCGATGATGTTTCCTCCATAATTTCATGAATTTCCAGGTGTCCTGAAATTTTGTTCTATAACTGGGGGTTGCTGAAAGTTTCCAAAGTCATGGGGGTGTCCCCAGTCATCCAGTGATGACCATGACGACTAGTATTGAAATGTATTTTTTCACCTATGATCTGACGTCTGGGGATGCCCCATGACTTTGGAACCAGCATAGAAAGATCCATTTTCTGATTTTAGCCTCTGGTAAACATTCACAGTTTGCGACATAGAAAATGGCCCAGTCGAAATAGTTGATGACTTCCCATTAAAAATGGTGGATCTTTCCATAGTTATGTTAGTTTACCAGAGGGTCGCCGATCAAAAAACCAGCCATCTGCTGTTCATCCGCGTATCGTTGCGCCTGGATGGCCGTATCCACCAAACCAGGAACCTGGTGAGCTCTGGATGGACCAATGGATGGACCGCAAGTTCCCCAGCCATTGTTTAACCAGTGAAACCAGGTGAAACTTATTGAGTCATGAGATTTCATCAGATCAAAAATTTAAAAAACGAATCACCTAGAATGGACCAAGTCAAATTTACCCTCTGGTTATGACTAACATGGCGCCATGGAAAGATCCACCAGTTTTAATGGGAAAACATGGGAAAACCAACTATAAATGGGCCATTTTCCATGGCTATGCTAAATAACCATAGGGTAAAATTTGACTTGGTTTTATAATAAACAAACATGTAACATGTTGGTGGTTTCAACCCCTCTGAAAAATATGAAAGTCACTTGGGATGATGACATTCCCAATATATGGAAAAAAATGTTCCAATCCACCAACCAGATGTAACATGTTCTACATCATCTATGTGGCCGAGCTATGGAGTGTGGATGAAACGAGGTTTCAAATGGGTCATCACCATACCACAAGAGGCACATATGGAGCCAAAATGGTAGTTGAAGGGATGCAGGGATGCGACTAGCCTGAAACACGATAAGAAGAAGTGACACTTGATTCTTGATACGTCAAACATTAGGATGTCATTTTACTTGGACAAAACGTCATTAGATTGGAACAAATGTCATTGCCGCCATGTGTTTTTGCCACATCAAGCGAGATCAAAAAGGAAGCAGAAAGCATCATGGATAGCATGGTCCAGATATGTCCAGATCAAGAAACCAAGAAATTCTGAAATGATGATATCCCTTACTTGGATGGCAGGTTGGTGAGTTTGATGATAGGTCTCATGATCCCCCAGCCTTCCAGGTATGTCCAGGTATGTCCCATAGATATCCAGCCATAGATCCCATAGTGGTAACCTCTTGGAATTCCGAACCACTAAGCCAAAGCCTGCAAACTACTGGGTGAACATGGTGAAAGGCAATCCAGTTCGTGAAAATTAAAAAAAGCTGCGTTTATCCATTTTCTTGATGAAATTCCACAAGTGGTTTCCAGGTTTGTTGCTTACGTCCCAGTTTTCGTTAGGTTAAATTTCTATATTCCTCAGTTGAGCATAGTTGAGCCATTATAGATACCCACTTGGCAACTGGTTTTCACAATCCTGGCCAATCAGTCCCCATTTCGGGGGGATATCAGCTATATCCCATGCATCAATCGGTTGTAACTCTGGTTCTTTGCGGTTGCTACATGGGATGAGGCCCGACCCTCCTGAAGAACATGAAAGTCAAGTGGGAGAGATTCAAGAGAAAAGACACCCAAAACATTGTGACACACCAAGGACAAACCATTCTCTGTCCAAACATAGCACCGGAGACACATCCCACTGTTGCCTACAAATCCAAAAGATAATTTCGGACTGCAGAGCTCTCACCACCGTAAACTGGATGGCCCCACGTCACAACCGATCCATCTGCCAGGGTCGCAGCAAATGCGCCGATTGAGGCTTGAATTTGCTGCATGCTCCTCAGCTGATCTCGGATTGCGGAGGTGTTGCCACTGTGAGATCGATTGCCTCATGTGATGATGTTGTCACCTCCGGAGCACCACAGTACAAAGGCATGCTTTGTTGCAGCGATGCGTGTTTGAAGGGCAAGAACAGTGAGGTCGTATTCCTGCTGAATGCCGGCTGCTTGCAGAGATTGCATTGGATCAAGCAGCATCTGCCCGTCTGAAGTGACAAGCCTCAAGAAGCCCTGCAGGAAGGACTTCTGGGCAAGCACTCGCAGGTCCCCAACTTTGGAGGACTCTGGAAGTGAAAGGGTCTCAGTGCGACCACTGGGTAAGGCTACATTTACTTTCATCATCCCTCAAAAATCCTCAAAAGACGTCCGCAGGAAGTCCCGCATGACCACCTTGAGCCAAGACTTCTTCGAAAAACATTGGACTCGGGATGATCCGTCAAAAGTTAGGTCATATAGCTACTGTCATAGTACCCAATCAATTAGAATACCCTCTGGTAATTTAACATAGCTATTGAAAATGGCCATAGAAATAGTGAGTTTTCCCATATAAAGTTGTGATTTTCCATAGTTATGTTAGTTTACCAGAGGGTAATCCCCCTAATTCGCAACCAATCAACAATGGCATGTTTGATCAGTTGAAGCTCCCCACAGATCCAATTCGTAGGGAATGGGGGAATGTTGGTCTCTTGTGAAAATCGCTGAATGATTGGATCATTCCCAAAAATTTCCCTGCTACTTAAGCACCATCATCCCATTGTTATGTTGCTAGTTTCGTCAAAACCCGAGCACCCTACCCAAAACTAGCTGGTGTTTCTGGATGTTGATTTCCAAAAAAATGTCGTAATTTCATACAGGATGGGGCCTCCAAGATAGCGTTCAGTTGAGATATTAGCTGAATTCTATGGTTTATGGTAGATATAACGAACTAGTTGATGGGCTTTACAAACCAACTTAGCTATCTTGGGGGCCCTATCCTGTAGCCTCTGGGAATCTAACAGAGCTATTGAAAATTGCCATTTATTACCCACCAAAAAACCGAAGAATTTCCATCCCCCAGTGAAATCCCCTGAACGCCGAAGCCGCCTTCGACTTGCCAATCCGTGCGGCTGGCAGCTCGTGCAGGCACGTGGGGGGCGCCTGAGCCGAAGCCAGGGATGGCTTGGAGGTAAAAGGCCCCTTTTTAAGGCCTTGGAAATCGCTTGGAGGTCTCTAAAATCTATAGATTCTAGATGGATTTAGAGGAAAATTCAGGGATAATATGATATATTCTTGGGATATACTGGATTTTAGAGGAAAATCTAAGGGATATTTTTGGGAGACACTGGGATTTAGAGGGAAGATGTCTCAGGTTTTTCGACGTCAAAAGCTGAAAATGATGGGATATCCGATGGAACTTCTTCATGAGATGATTGTTCTCATCAGCAAAAATGTGGTTTTTAGGTCAACCATTTTACATGGATACCGGGATGCTTAATGATTAATCTCATAGTAATTATAGGGAAATCATGGGACATTTCCATATATTACCAATAAATATGGTAAAGATGTGGTTGGGGAATTGTATTTCAACAATTAGCCCAACAACATGGGTGTCTCAGAGGGTTGCCAGGGGGGTTTGTTTCAACGGCCATCCCGGAAAATCGCTGATGAAACATGGATTTTTTGGGGTTTCAACGACTTTTTCAACAAACAAACAAACCCTGGTTGTTTTGCAATTCTTGGTGCTTACCCTGAGGTAGAAATGCAAAACGATATGCAACAATTGCAACAAGCCTGGTTTGGCACTGACGCGAGTTTACTGAAGCGTAGATGTTGGATCAAGTGGGGATTTGCCAAAGAAAATGAGTCTTCTGCTGCGTCAAATCCCCACGTGTTGAGAAACCAAGATGTTGCTTGTTTTGTGACATGACTGGATGAGCTTACAAAAATGCTTCAGTGAAACCCATGGGCCCTTTTCACAGACTATATCAAACTATAGATCTCAAGGCTCCTGTTCCCTCAGACTTAGACCAATTCTCAGAGTATAGCGTAAGACTGTGAACATTGAAGGGCCCAACCATCCACTTATTAGTGATCATGACTGTCCACACGCCCTGATATATCCATCTCATAGCATCATGAATCAGGTTGGAATGAGTCAAAATTGGGTATCTCAACAATTTGGATACTTAAGTACCAGCAGTATTAGATGATCGTCACCGTCATCCCCTTAAAAGGTCGCAGCTCGTCAAGTGATGTCATCCCAAAATGTCGGATCATTTGGGATGCGCGAAGTTGAGGCGTTTTTCATGTATACTGTATACCTCCCCAAATATAATATAAACATAATAAAAATAGTGGGGCAAAAAAACTCATGGAAATCCTGCGGATTTGGTCCTAGATATTTTGGATGTCACAATCAGATGTCAGTTGGTTTATGACCCCAAACTATACTTCTAATATGTCTAACTGGTTGGTGGTTGACCTACCCCCCTGAAAAATATGAGTTCGTCAGATTGGATCATCATCCCAACTATTCCCAACTATTGGATTATTGGGCAAAATAAAAAAATGGTCCAAACCACCAATCAGCTAATCACCATAAATATGAGTTGGCCTATATAAAGCACCGATGTCACCGTCAAATCCCCCATTCATTTCGAATGGATTTTCCACACCTCGTAGGTTCCTGGACCTGGCTGGATCTCGCGAAGACAGAGTCCTGGAGACGACTTGTGGGATGGCTATGGGTGATGGGGATATGGCCCAGAAATCAATACCCTCTGGTAAACTAACATAACTATGGAAAATCATCATGTTTTATGGTTAAATCAACTATAAATGGCCATTTTCAATAGCTATGTTAGTTTACCAGGCTATAGCCGTTATGGGTCAAGACCCGCTACCCTTCTGTTCACAAAATAGCTGGGATTTATGGATGTTCATCCCTCGAATCACGTGGTATTTTCGGTTTTGATCCGTCTCCATATACTGTAAACCAACGATAATTGATATTTAGATATATATATATATTGTAATTTAGATACTGTAACTGATGATAAGTGGATTTACTATTACAACGCTAAATATGATGGGTGGGTGACATAAATCAGATAACTGAGTTCATTAAATGTTATGGAATGGTGTTTTATAAATACGATAGATAATCCGCACAGTATGATATGGCAATAGTTGCCATGGCACATCCCAAAATGGATTTCAAGAAAGGTTGATCTGTACCCCAATTGTTTATTCTAGATCTAGAATCCAGAATCAACTTATTAACTGGAAATTGACCATCCATTTAATCGGGTAGTTGAAGTGTAACCAAAATCTTGAGCCATAGCCATTTATCAATGGACAGGAATCTCTTGAGCTTCCACCTCTGATAATTCCCCATGACTCTAATTACTGCATACACCGATACCATCAGGAGAGGTGGTAGATCCTGGTGTATCCATGGTTTTCTGGAATTCATCATGGAATCAGCCTCATCTCCCTGCTTGTTTTCACCACTTGGAGGATCCACGAATCGTCACTGGACCCAGTTGCGATTCTCATCGTTCTCCCAGATGGTCGTTATAGCAGGTTGGTGGTGCAATAACCATCTTGAAAAATGATGGAGTTCGTCAATGGGGTTGGGATGACATCCCATATATGAAATGAAACAATAAAAAATCATGTTTGAAACCACCAACCAGTTATAGCATAACATTCATTGAGCATAAGCCATAAGCCCAACCAAAAAATGTATTCGGTGATCCTCTCAGCAGTGATTCATCATGTTCTATCCCCATGATATCCCCATGTTTCATGCAGGGGACCCAGGGGACCCCAACACAGCTTGTGTTCAGTTGAGATATTTTTCTTGTGGCTGAATGAACTCTGGTTCATGGTAGATATAACGAACTATAGTATTCATGGGCTTTCTAAACCAACAAACATAACTAGCATATATCTACCGTATATCTACCAGATACCATAGTTACCCTCTGGTAAACTGACATAACTATGGAAAGATCCACCACTTTTAATGGGAAGTCATCAACTATTTCGACTGGGCCATTTTCTATGTCGCAAACTGTGAATGTTTACCAGAGGGTAAACCAACTCATATTTATGGTGATTAGACGTAGTAGAAGTATAGTTTGGGGTCATAAACCAACTGACATCTGATTATGACATCTTATATCTACTATATCCTATGGGAAAATTATAATGGGAAGTCATCAACTATTTCGACTGGGCCATTTTCTATGTCGCAAACTGTGAATGTTTACCAGACTGTAAACCATATCCTACTATAAACCAACGTTCACATCACTGGGGCACCATCCATCACCATCCTCTGTGGAAAAACCATCCCAATTTGTTGTGTTCCAGGCCCTGCCGGCTCCTCGCGAACCACGGGTACTCTCCACCTTCGTATTCCGGCCCTGGCCAAGGTGCCACCGATTTCTTTGGGAAAAACTGGGGAAAACATTGGGGGGAATCAATTTGATCAGCTTGTTGGCTTTCTCAGAACCATTTCACCGAGCCTATAGTTATGAAAATGACCATGTGTTTTGGGGGGATACCACATTTTTGACACAGCCATTTCCCTGGTAGATAAACATGCAATGATTGCATTGGTGTGGCCCATAAAAATAACTGGTCTATCCAGGCTTCAAAAGCATTCAAAAACTGATTGTTGGGATTCAAATTCTCAAGACATCTCATGACCAGAAAAAAAATGGCTGAGACCGATGACACAAACAATGTGCCTGAGGGTCAGTTAGCAGCTCTAAACGGGTGCTCCAACCAGTTGAGGGGGTTGATTTGTCCAATTCCAACACAGAGAAAAACACTAAAGTCACTTAAGGGATCTTCCCCACAAAGAGCCAAGACCATGCCACCCAGTTACAACCTTGCTAAATCAGGGAAATGTTTTACTAGTGATGATAGCCACTATAGCTGATCAAATCCTGCTTGCTGATTTTTTCGTCCATGTTTCGTTGATGGTAATCACATTCGATCTATTTCCTGCCGATCTTTACCTCCAATACTGATGAATCCATGGACACTGTGGCTTTTGTATCTGGCAATTTTCAAGTCCGTCCTCAAAAAATGGTCATCTTCTGCTGGTTGGCTGGTGATTTTGCCAAATTTATCTGGTTGGTGGTTTGAACCCTACCCCTCTGAAAAATATGACTTCGTCAGTTGGGATTATGAAATTCCCAACTGAATGGAAAAATAAAAGCCATGGTCCAAACCACCCACCAGCCATAATTACTATATAAATCACCATTTTCCCATGATTTTCCCACGGCTTTCCCATGGTTTTCCCATGGTTCCAAACCACCAACCAGTTATAGATATCTTAAGCAAACACCTAGAGGATTTTTCAGCCACCGGCTGCGTTCGGTTGGGGATGATCCCTGATCCCGGCTGCGGTGCTGGTTGATGGACGCCACCATTGTTGGTGCTCAAATCCACTATATCTATCTATCTATCTACTAACTATCTATCTATCTATCTATCTATCTATCTATTTATCTATATATATATGTATGTGTATATATATATATATGTATATGTATATATATATATATGTGTATATGTGTGTATATATATATGTTGTTTCAATCCTCATGTGTGTGTTGCATAAATCAGCATATTGTTGAATATCATGAAAACTTCCCCATGAAATCTCCCTTACTTCTTGGCCAGGTTCAATCAGCATGTTCCAACACACCCATTATCCATAATTGTTACATTGTCGGTGATATCGTTAGTTATTTATCGTATGTATATATATATATATAATTTCCCTAAAATCCCATTAAAACCCCATTAACATCTCATCAAAGCCTATCAAATCCCATTAGGAAAAAAAAGAAAAACAATAATTCAACCAGTTCATCATTCCTACCTCGGCAAAAGATACGACCACAACGGGAAGCGCCTTCCGCTGGTCCAGCAATTGATCCTTCAGAGCCAACAACGTTTCGATGCGCTCAACGTTGCCTTAAAGCGGAAGCGGAAGTTTCATGGCTCATCTCTGGTCTCATGGGGATTCTCCTAGTGGATGTCATAGGGTTTTGATAGTTCATGAGATTTTAATGGCATGTAATAGCATTTTTCATAGGATGTTAATGGGATTTCATAGCTAAATTAAATGGGAGTTTTGAGGGATTTTGTAAGATCTATGGATAAATTAAAATGATTCACCAACCTGAAAATGAAGTTGCCCCTACATTCACCATCATGTCCACGTCGCGTTGTGAGGTTGTGAGAATCTAAGATCTCATAGGGTGTTCATATGTCTATGTATCTATAGGGATACAGTACATATTGGGAATTGTAGATTACATACATAATATGTTGCTGGGTTCTTTGGAAATTGGTATAAGACTGACTATAAGACTACAATCTGTATATGATATGATATAGCTGGATACAATGAGGATAGATACCTAAGAATGTCACATGAAGTTATATGGGTTTCTACAAAAAATGCCATACTCATGGTGAAATTGGGAGAAGCGATTGGATTTGGGATATATTTATATACCCTATAACTGGTGCTTAAATCTCACCTTGGCTATGTGGCTATATATATATACACAAAACTGGTGGCTTCAACCCATGTAGAACTTGAGATATCAACATCTCAAGCATACATGAATGCGCTATAGCCGCTATAGACCATGGTGATTACCCCCTCACTGCAAAAACACGTCCTGACTGACGAGGCAAGTTTTGCCCTGGCCCTGACTGACTCGGTCATGGCATCGTCAACGAAGGACTTCTGCCTTCGACCTACATTTTAATTAGCTGAGCAGCGTTCAAAAGCCTCTGCTGACCCTTTATGCATCGTTATGCTGGTTGGTTAAGAACCGATTTCCCAGGTCAAGGGGAAATAACACAATGATTGTGAACGATTGTAATAACCCCGACATATTGGACTGTACAATAACCCCAAAATCATCAACCAACAAGGGTTTTGAACACTGCTGCTCAGCTGTAGCAAAGGATCATGCGATGGGGCCCACCAAAGATTTTACCCGTGGAAACTGGCAGATCTGTCACAAGCACCACTGTTCCACGGTGATTCGCGTCGCATTCAAAGTCATTCATCTGAGACATCAAGTCTGGCACGCCTTGAAACTTGAGGATCTTCAGCCTGTAGGCCAGCAGCTCTGCAAGTATCTTGACAGAGGCTTCATTGATTGACCCTTTGACTTTTGCAACTCCGCAACAAGACAAGCGCAGCTGTACCTGAACCAACTGAGAGACCTCCTGGTGTTGGAGCGCCGCGAACTCACAGGGCTCCAGCGCAATCTTTTTCATTAGATTTTGCAAAGATGCTACACCTTCTTGGGGGTTCCAGTCCAATGACAGCAGTGCACGTGAAACTTCACTCCAACGAAATCTGGGAGCAACATCACACAGCAGGAGGGAATTCCGCAAGGAGCGGCCAAAGTTGCTGGGAAAGGCGTCCCCGATGACAGAGCAACCAACCACGTAACCACGGTGGTTTCTCTTGAGGAGTAGGATGGGCGTGGCTTCTGAGATCATCGAGGTGGCTGCAACACGAGCAAGCTCCAGCCAATGTTGGCAAACACAATGCTTGAACGTCTTAAGTCCAGGGTCAAATTCTGCAGCAGTCTCAAATTGAGATTGTTCCACTGCTCGCCCAAGGAAGTCAGCTTCCCGAAAATCTGAACAAAATGCTGTCCACTATCTGCATGGATGGGCGATCCACTGAGGACCTCATGAACCAAGCACTCGGCCTTGTCTGCAAGAAGTGGCGGTGCTGATCCTGCTGTCCAGGCCACCTGGAAATTTGGTGACCTCGGATCAAACCTGTCGCCCTGCATAGCTTCCAGGAATTTTCCAGTGTCTGGGAAGGTGAAAAGCCAAGCTTCCAAATCCCCGTGCTTGATCACAAGGGACGCAAAAGTGCCAAGCTGCAGTTGTAGACCCAATGCCTTTGACGGCTCCTCCTCCGTGTAGAAGAGGACCCGGGACCAAGGACGACAGCGGAACATGGGTCCGTGCAGATCACGGAGGACCCTCTCCAGATCCGCCAAACTTCCAGCTGGCAGCAGGAAGCTACAAACATCATCACCACTGAAAGAGGCAGTAATGCTCACGGAGATATCGCCATGGCCACGGTCGGGCACTAGCAAGGCAGTGAGCACTGTTGCCATGATTCAAATCAAAAGCGACTGTGAGAAACGTAAGAAACTAGACTTGCGCCAAACATGGTCGGGATGAATCTGCAACGAGGATGGGGATGAAAGCAAAAAAAATTGGGATTGAAGCCAACCAAATAAGGATTTGATGAGGAAAATTGGGAGATAATGGGCCAGAGAACCAAGTGCAATAAATGGGAGCAAGAACCCCATAGCCAACAAAAAGACGAACATCCTTTGCCAACAGGGGAATCACCTCATCTGCACAGGCTATGCTCACAGCCATTCCAGGTCAGTGTTCCAAAAAAACCCTAGTGGTTGAAGGTTATGTGGTGTTACACGTTTACTACGAGGTTGTTCTATATCGATATCGGAATCATCAACCTAATCGATCCTAATCCAATGTGTTTTTTTCTGTGTCAAATAGATCAGCCAGCAAAATGTTATTTTAGGTTGTTTTTGTTAAAAATACTTGTCACATAGAAACAAACAACGCTAGGTCCAAAGAGGTATACTCAAGTCAGCTATAATCTGGTTGGTGGTTGACCTACCCCTCTGAAAAATATGACTTCGTCAGTTGGGATGATGATTATTCCCAAGATATGGAAAGTCAATCCAAATTCCATGGTTCCAGTTTCCACCAACCAGTTTATCACTAGGGTTTTTTGAGCCATCGAGGCCATCGAAAAAAAATTCTGGGGATCCCCGGAAGATCCCGGAAGAGCCCTCTGTGAGGCACTGTGGATCTGATCTCGGAGTTCTTGTCTCCTGGCCATTGGTCATAGCGCAGAGGGGGTTCCAATCACTAAAACTGGTGTAAAATTGAAATATATATATGTATATATATATATATGTATATGTATATATATATATGTATATATATATATATATATGTGTATATATATATGTATGTATGTGTGTGTGTCTAAAAATAGGGTAGCACTACAGTAAATCCTGCCATTGATCATTAATACGCATTAGTCATGAAGCAATATTAATCATCATTTTCCCCAATATATAAAGGGGGTATACCATGGTATACCTCATTTTCAGACACACCATATAAATTTTCAACATCACGTTGGAGGCTTTTTTCTTCATCATTGTGGTTTTGGGGGGTCTCAAAGATTCTTTTAAAGAAAAAAAAACGCTATTCAATGTTGTGCCAATATAAATGTGAACAACTCGATACAGTGTCATGGGAATATGTCCAACGGAACTGTAGCCTCATGACCATTTCAGGGAATGAAACGCCGGGTCCAAAATTTATGCCAGTGACATCCAACCGAAGAAATGATGACCGTCGGCAAGTCCCACAAGTGGGTCCATTGATAGATCCGCTGTATCGAGACTTCCTCACCAGTCACTAAGCACGATGAAATCGTACTGCAAGGATCACTGCTTTAAAGATCCTGCGCCTGAAAATGCTACATCAGATTTGCCAGCCTGTCGGGCATATATCAACAAAACAATCATAAATACATATACAAAACATACAACAAAATCAAGGTGTGTCTGAAAAAAATGGTATACCCCCATTGCCATTTCACTTCGGGAAACTGATGCTTAAGTAAATTGAGTTTAGGGATGCACATGGAGTTTACGATTTTCAGACAACCCCTTCACATCAAATCACAGGGTGTCCGAGGTGTCCATGGATCATGGAAACATATTGAGATGTATTGAAAGACCTATGGTGACGACTGAGGATCATTCTAAGAAACCACCATGCAGAGAATATCACCATGGTCATGAAAAGCCCTATCACTTGGGGCATACCCCCCATGTAGCCTATGCATATACAGTATATATATAATAGGTACCGAAAAAATCAACTTATATCATCTTATATCAACCAACAAACATTAGTCTCTGGCCCCACAACTTCGCCAGTGGCCAGTCACTCAGTCTGCACCTGTATCCATCCACGCGATCGATGCGACTCTTAGCTTCTCGCACATCCATGAGGTGCAGATGCTGTTCCTGCGCTATGGAAAGCATGGGGATTTCACCAAGAAAAATGGGGATTAAACCCACGAGAAGGGCGATTTAGCATCAAACAAACATATACAAAAATTGGGAGTTTGACTATGTACTGGGATGAGACATCTGTAGGAAAATTCTTCTTCAATTGGTTGGTGTTCATCCGGAAATCTAAAGGCGAAAACGGGTAAATTACTAATCCCCGACCGAATTATCACCTGGGGTGACTATGACTTACTATAGTTTCTCAGCTGCCAACCCCAGTTCCCTTTGATAAACAAGCCTCAGAACTGGGCTTATCGGGACGGAATAGAGACAAAATGTTTGGTTTCGGATTCTCATGGACTCAGGGACGGGGAGATCAATTGTTAAGCTTGAAAGGATAATCAAAGGCCCAGGTTGTCTGCAGTAAACCATACCGACCATACCTATTGCTTCCTTTCACCTGAACATGATCCACAGATATTGCAATGCTCGTAGTAGACCAGATCTTATGGGTGAAAAGAAAGCACATCTTCGAATTCTCACAGAATACCATCCTACACAAACGCTTCAACGCAAAGAACCAAGCCCGTGGGCGCACCCTGAGGCCCCAAAAAAAAACAGATCTTGGATATCTTGGATGAATTCACTCCAGATGTCTCCAGATGTCTCCAGATATCTCCAGATGTCTCCAGTCTACCCCAGATCTGATCAGTTGGCCTCGCCTCACTGCGAAGTTGCCGTTGTTTCTGCTCCTCTTCGCGTCGCCGGCTCACGTTATCGATGCGCACCTGCCCAGGATTGCCCAGGTCGCTGGCGTCAGGGAAATTTGGCTGGGGAATCCATCATCGGGAAATTCATCATGTTTTTCATGGCTATGTTTAATGGGTATAACTATGGTATAACTATGGTATAACTATGGTTGTTAATGGTTGTTAATGGTTGTTAATGGTTGTTAATGGTTGTTATATAACTATTCTCACATCAAAATCATCTGCTTGGTGGTTTGAACCCTACCCCTCTGAAAAATGATGGAGTGAAAGTCAGTTGGGATCATGACATGACCCCAAGATGATGGGAAAAATAAAAATGTTCCAAACCACCAACCAGATTATGTTTTGTGTATAGGGGAAATCCCAAAATGGTGAAACTTGACAAAAAGCCGCTCGAGGTGGGGCGAATCGGAATCGCTAAGTCGCTTAAAGTTGGTGAAGAGTTCATTAAAAAAAGGTGAATGAACTACATGCTTGAATGTTATATCTATACTATAATATTGTATGTTAATAGCATTTAATAGCTATATATTACTAAATGGTATATGAATATGAATTATGATAGACTAATAGCTATTATCTAATTATACTTCATATTGATATTACTGTAGTTATGGGCCATGGGGGTTCTAAACCAACCAACATGACATAGGTTTTAAGGGGAAATCGATGGGAAGTCCATGGGAAAATGGACGATTTTTTCCAAGCCATGGAGCTGATGAAAGTAGCAGTTGTGAGACAGTCCAACGTGTTAAATTGATGAGGCTCCTGCTTGAATATGTACAACATTTGGGCCTATAAATGGAGGTTCCAATGGGAGTTCGAACATCTACAGAATAGGTGGACTTTCCAGAGAGCCATGCTTGATTTGCTGGTATATACGGTATGCCCACAATGATTCTTTTATGCCATATCTTTGGGTCAGAAAACATCTGAGGATGGTGATGTGCTTGTAAGCAGCCAGGTTGAATCCGTTCAATTCCTATAGATGGATGGACATGGTATCAATCATAAACAGTCAAGGCGTATCAAGATCGTCAGTCACGATCATGAACATAATCCTGAACATGATTGAACATGATCGTCATCAAGATCATATCCTATGTATTCAGAATTCATATGCCACTTTTTTCCCCTCTTTGTTCTTTATCCCAGGCATCGTGAGTGGCTCATCAGTTGGGGACCTCCTCTCAAATATTATCTTTTTCAAAGCCAAACATCTTTGAAACCACGAACCAAATAACCACCAACCAAATCATGGTTCACATCATATATATATATATATTACTAGTAATCAATGGCACAACATCACTAGTAACCACCAATGGTACCCCGTAAGAATCTCAGAAAATTGGGCTACCCGGCTGCTACTTCCGAACGTTCGGAAATGATCTGCAAATGGTGGAGTTTTACTGCAGAAAATCCCATGAAATCCACCATGAAATCCTACATATCGATTCTAGATAAGAACCATGAAGATATGTGTATATATATATATACTATATATATATATACAATCACATTATACATATAACATAAAATCCCATAAAATCACATTACATAAAGCATTCAAACATTATATAACTATATAACATAACTATATCTAAGTCATTCATCTGGGATAGGAAAGCCTGATGTTCACCACCGTTTTTTGCGACTCTGCGCGACTCTCACCTCAATATCCTGCAAGCGCTTCTCACCCTCCAAGCGACGCTCCTGGTCGGGAGTCACCAGCAGAAATCTTCAGAAATGAATCTATGGTTAATCTATGGTTAATAATGGTTGATATATGGTTATTATATGGTTAATAATGGTTAATAATAACCTGGTTGGTGGTGCAATAACCAGGGAATCTGGTTGGTGGTGGTTAATAGTGATTAATAGTTGTTAATAGTGGTTCATAGTGGTTATTAGTGATTAATACCTGATCTAATGAATAATGGGAATCTGGTTGGTGGTGCAATTTCACCATCTTGAAAAATGATGGACTTCGTCAATGGGGTTGGGATGACATCCCATATATGAAATGGAAAATAAAAAATGTTTGAAACCACCAACCAGGAAATCAAAATATGGGATTAAACCATAAATGAAACATCTTTGAAAACTGGTGAACCATAAATCATGGGAAATTAACCAGAAGTAATGGGATTCACGAACCAATCTGGTTCAAAAAAAGATTGAAGCACAATTCATATGGTTCTGGGTCACACATTTGGAGCCTTCTGTTCACATTCACAAGAATTCATAGATGGTTTTTATAGATGTTCATCGGACGTTCATCCTTTCACAGATGGTATGAAACATAGATTTTGATCCATACCCTCTGGTAAACTAACATAGCTATTGAAAATGACCATTTATAGGGAGTTTTCCCATTAAAAATGGTGATTTTCCATAGCTATGTTAAATTACCAGAGGGTAACCATATGAAACATTGGGGTTTGACTTGGCAAAACTGTTGACATTTGTTTGGTCACAATGGCATTGGCTTTAGTCTGTAGACTTAGACAACAAAGACGCTGGGAGAGGTTTCCTTACCAACACAAAAGGGAAGGGACACAAATTCACCTTGCACCAGAATTTGATCTGTCTGTAACCCGCGGCATAACTCTCTCAGAATCTGGATGGAACACCATGATAACGATGGTTCAGCAAATGGATCCACTCACAACAGTGACATCCGTCATCTTGTGCATGGTGCAGTCCACTCCTTTTCAACCTGTTCAAATACCTTTTAAATCCTTTTAATAGATATGCAGCGGTAAACCTGAAAGTTGGTTTTGGAGGCAAGTCTTGCAGAAAAAACACAGACAGAGCGCTCCATAGATTAGTAGCGTGGGTGCGTAGATTCCCCCTTCAATGTCTTGCTGTTTTGTTTGCCAAAAACAACCCGTCTGTCCATGACTGTCTGTGAAATCGACTGTAGAATATTGATTCTAAAACTGGTTAGTGGTTTTAACCATCTTGAAAAATATGAAAGTCAATGGGAATGATTATCCCATATATGAAATGGAAAATAAAAGCCATGTTCCAAACCACCAACCAGAATACCATTTCTGTTGATGAATATCAGCTGTATAACCTTGCTTCCCCTCTGGAATGATGTTCCCCAGGAATTGCTATGGCCTCTTGCAGAAGCTCAGTCTTCTCCTGGGGAAGTCATGAATTTTGGAAATTGCGACATAGAGATGGACCAATTGAGGAATTGCTTTAGTCTACAATTCAAAGATGATCCAATTTGCCATTCGTTGGAATTTCTAAGAAAGGGGTGATTCGGAAGATTGAACTGTGGGATAACTTGTGGAGATGACGATTTTCGGACCCTTTTTGGCGGTATTTTAGGGTGATGCATTGGAGTCATATGACATATAATTATAATCAATTATACACCTGGATCTTCGAAAGGACACACATAATTGTCCGTTTGCAAGATTTCTGCCTTTAGGGCGGATTTCTTGTGGAGGACCTGGAAATGGTCATGTTTTGCCTATTGTGATCAATTTTGTATCTTGCACCTTTTGGGTTGATCTTACTCTACTTTGCGTCAACATGTGTTGATTCTTCTGGGCGGAAATTCCCGGGAAAAGGGCCGGAAATACCCGTGCAGACTCAGCATGACTGAAACATGAACACATGAAGTGGTCAGTTTTTTCTTGACATGGTCATTTCCATCTTGAAATGGACAAATTTCAAAAATATGGTCAGAAATCGAACACAAATCTGCCCTGGACAGAAATTTTGTAACCAATGAATATATCCGTCATGCATCCTATAGGACCCTCTGTTCGTGGGGGAGGAACCTTCAGAAAATTCACAAATCGTTCCCCTGTAGTACTTTAAGAAATCGCTATCAAGGTCAATGGGGTTCAGTGAAACAAAAACAAAACACATCGCTATGGAAAATCAATATATTTAATCGGCACAGCATCAATGGATCAGTTTCCATTGTCATGGCACCAAGTTACCAGAGGGTATACATTGGTGAAAACACGGGCCTACCAAATTGTTTCAAACACATGAAGGCAGACTCCATGCTAAGCGTCTTTTGACAAGTAGGGATTAGATTCCAACCTTCCCAGTTTGTGAGGTCCATATCACAATAGTGATTGGTTTGTCCCCAAAAAAATAGTATTAGACACCATAAAATATGGAAGTTGGGGCCCTGCATTGCCCATTTCGTGGAAGAACCATCATTGATTTCCATGGGCAAACTTTTCGCGGTGAAATGTCCATGTTTCTTCCCAAAAAAATCATGGTGTGTCACAACTAGAAGATCTTAAACCTATTTTCCGAAGATGTTCATGATGTTCATTTTTTTCTGAATTGTTTTTCTTAGGTTGAACGAACTTCTAAATCCATCGAAACACTTTGGTTGTATCCTAGCATTCTCCCCAAGATCTCCCCTAGATTCTCCCCATTCTCCCATGATTTTCCCATTATTTGCCCATACGATGGCCTTTCTTCAGCACCGCTCCCCACTGCCGCCGCTTGAAAAATCTCCGCCGTCCCCGCCTTCATTTGGGCCACGCGCTCGCGAAAGACGGCGGTCTTCTCGAGGTTCATGACTTTGCGTTCCTCCACAAACCTGGCGTGGCGAAACAATGGGGGAGTTCACTAAGAAAAATGATGAGTTCAGCAACCAAAATAGGGATTTAACCAACAACAAGAACAAGAACAAGAACAAGAAGAACAAGTGATCTAACCAAACAAATGATGTTTAACGAACATGGCGTTTTTGGCGTTTAGCCAAGCAAAAGTCATGGGATCCCTCAACTTCGGCGGCAGTTGCCCCCACACAGGATCAAGTTGCCCATGTTAAAGTCAACTTGCGTCCAAACGTGCCCAAGTTGCGAAATGTTGGGGCTGAAGTTGGGCCCAAGTTGGAGCCAAGTGGCCCGAGTTCGGCGCAAGTTACGCCCAAGATGGGCCCAAGTGTTCGGCCCAACTTAAAGGCAAGGATGGCCAAGCTTGACCCAGTCGGCTTTGGTTGGGCCAAGTAGGCCCGTGTTCTTCACCCTGCATCCCCAAGTACCCTACTCCTCAACTTCGAAAAGTCGTCCCTGACCTGCACAATTTGCATCTAATCTGGGTGCGGGCAGTACTCTTCGCGGCGCAACTCGACTTAACCCCCAAAAAAGATGCCGAAAAGCTCTAACCTGCCACTATTTTGGATTTGGATCTCACCAACTTCTATCTTTTTGGAGGTTACTACCCAATAATATCCAGTAACCATTACCATAATGATGTTCTTTATGACCCCCGGTCATGGTTGGTGAATGCCACAACACATAATCCGTGCTTCGAAAATCCAGGGTTGGATGTATTTTGATAGTTAACACAACCAGGTTCTGCGCAAATCAACTGGTTAGATGCTAACCGGCTAACCATTTAATTTCTGTTAACCCTCTGGTTAACATTCCAGCTAAAATCATAATGATTCCCTGAAGTTCCATTCAGTCCCATGGAAAATCTCAATACATTTCATGAAATCCCATGGAAAATCCCAATATATAAATGTTTCCCATAGTTTTCCCTATGATTTTCCAATATATAAATGTTATGAAGTCCCATTCACTGCTAAAAGCCCTATGTTTTTTCAAGCTTCGTATCCCCATCGTCGAGATGCCCGAGACCATGCCTCTGGATCCGTTCTTCCTCCGCAAGCATCTCTTTGGCGTAGTTGGCCTAAAATCACGGGGGGTTGGAGGACAACTTTCACCGGAAAATGGAAGGAACATGAAGGAACATGGGGAAAATCTTGAGGAAATTCTGGAAAGTCTCCTCCTTAGGATCCACAACTTGGGGTTCACCCTGATTTTTCTTGCGGGTTCCAATGGTTCTCACGGTGAAGTTTTTGTTTCGTAATTGGCATAAAAACCCATAAAACAAACTCCAGAGGTTCGGAGTGGGATTTCTTTGGTAGGATATAACAAACGAGACGTGAGAATCGATCCAAAATCTACAGGGGTGGAAACAGCACGAACACGCACGCCCACAAGCCATATATGGGTAACATGGATCCCATCAATATACCCCAAATGTTAGCATATATACCATACGTGGATCCTATGGGCAATGGCACATCTATCTAATAACAGCACGCTACATAAGTCTTCTTCTCATGCGTGCCATGCAAAAAAGGCTGGGTGAAAAAAAAGCCCATGTATGAAAAGTGATTGTCACGCTCCCATTACTACGGTTTCTGTATGAACCACAAAAAATACCCCCATCCCAAACTGGTTGATTAATAGGTGTCCCTATTATGGATTCCAACATTCCCCCAGAAACCAGGTAGTAGAACCCGCCACAATCACAAATCGCCAGTGATCCGTTGCTACTACCCCCAAGTTTCAGCAGCCACTGATGCCTAGTACATATCCGGAGTCCATTATAAATTGTTGTACCTATACATAGTACACATATGTACACATACTACTGTATACATAGGATGTACTTGGTATACATATTACGTAACCTATACATAGTGTATACATATAGTACCTACCCGAAACCCCAATACCTCCACCCAATAGTTGATATAGCTGGATGTTCATCCCACCCATTCGGTAATTCCCCTCAAACATGGCTGGAAAATACGAACCATTGACAGTTGATGTTCCCAGCGAACGAAACCTCCATTGAGTTCAGAAAAACTTCGGGTTTTTTTTCAGCCACAGGATGACTTGCCCTTCAGCTGAATGTTTGTTGGTTTGTAAGCCCATCTAAATATGTATATAGATATATATAGGCCATTGTTGGTTTATAATCCCATCTATTATATAGTTTATGTTTGTTGGTTTATAAGTATCATAGACTATTGTTTTTCCAGTTATTTAAGCACCAACTTAGCGAACGACCTGGGGCCCCATCCCCTTCCCCACCGTGGCCCACCGTGGCCGCTCGTGGCCGCTCCGCCTGCTTCTCTTCGTGCTCTTTCTCGAGCTTCTGCATTAACTCCTTGGTTGCGAGAAATTTCGCGATGAAATCACCAACTGGTCATAATATTATCTATAATATGAATGGGATATTCGCTGGTCATATTATCAATGGGAATTTCAGGATCCTAAAATGGAGGTACTGTAGCATATAAGACCATATTTTGGTGGTATATCCCCTTACATAGGCCTTACATAGGCCTTATATATGGTAGGTATCTCCATTTTAGGATCCTGAAATGGCCATTGATATTATATACAATATCACCATATATTACCTATGGCTATAAATGGGATATGACTCATATGACCTATAAATGCGAATATATTATATACATTTATATACAATATCACCTATAAATGGAATTTAATAGAATATGAATGGGATATGAATGGGATACCCTCAATCAAACATGCCGGGGAAAATTCCCGAAGATGGAGGGAATCTAATTTGTGATAAATGTGAAAAATATATATATATATAAATGGAGTGTTTTCCAGCAAGCCATGTTTGATTACCGGAGGGTATCGACTCACAAAAAATCTCAGCAATGACTGTCAGATACTTCAGAAACCAAAAAGGTAAGCTTAGGTTTTTGCCATGGCCATGATTTTATTCACATCGTTCATGGATGAATTTGGTCGTTGCGAGGTCAGAAGGTCATGTTTTTGACACAGGTGGCAGGTTGAAGCCATGATGGTTAAGCCATAAAAGTGACGATGAAACCAAGACTTGGTTGAGAACGGGATTTCCCCAAAAAAGTGGATTGCGATATTCCCTCAAAAAAGTGGTTAGTTTTTGTTACCCGAACTAATCATCAGCCAACTGGAGTGTCGAAGGCAGTTCAATTTCTGAAATGTTGATAAGACATGATAAGACATGATAAACACGCTACTTACAGTACTAGTTTCCTAAATCTATCTTTAATGTCAACCCCGGATTAATAAACCATATGGTTTATTGATTAGGGCGGTACTCCTCCGATAGTCATACTCTGGTACTTAAATGGTACCCTCCCAATTAAACATCCTAGGGGGTTATACCCTCTGGTAATTTAACATAGCTATTGAAAATGATCATTTATCGTGGATTTACCCATTGAAAATGGTGATTTTCCATAGTTATGTTAGTTTACCAGAGGGTAAATCCAGGGTTGACATTATACAAAACATGACGACATGTTACTGTTCGCGGACGTTCGCCTCGTGTTCACCGTTTCTTGTCACAAAAGATTTGGAGCTCACCATCACCAGATCAGTATCTCATTGCTCTGTGTTGTATTGTAGCATATTGTAGCATATTGTAGCATATTGTAGCATATTGTAGCATATTGTAGCATATTGTAGCATATTGTAGCATATTGTAGCATATTGTAGCATATTGTAGCATATTGTAGCATAGTATCAAAGTATTGTATGATAGTACTACGTAGAAGTGTATATATGATTACATATGTACATTGTTGTATTGTACCACACTGTAATAAATTGGCCCAACGGTTGGATTTACAGTATATTATACTTTTGGTCTGCCACAGGTGCCGAAGCATCCGTAGGCCCGCAAGCGACGACGGTTTTTGATTGGGTTGGGGTGGATTCGATGAAATTCAATTGTACCAATCTATTATTGTACCATATTAATAGATTATTCATAATATATTGTATATTAATAGTATATTAATAGATTCATGAGATCTTATTGTATTATAATGTACTTGAGTGCCTTTGTCTTGTCAACCAGATTATAGAATCCCCTTATATGAATCATAGTGTCTCAGTTTGGATTGGATCTAGATTCGATCTTATGAATTTGAATAATGCCATTAATATACATTAATATACAGTACATTAATGATATTTCATTGTATTCTAATAACCTTTTTTCAGGACAACCAGCAATGCACCATTGTGTCAATAATGCAGGCTTTCCTTCATATCCTTGATTTCCGGGCCACCTAAGTCAACGATGGTGGTAATCCACCTGAAACATATATGAGTCCAGAAAAAGAGTGAATACCCTTTAGACTGTTTATATATTCAGATTCAATCATCACCCGCCTGGCAAAAACTGGAGGTCCCGCAGTCCCGCGGTCCTTGTTTTGCAGGATTTTCTTGTCCAACAACTCCCTGGCGGGCCAACAAATGGGATTTTGGCCAGCCAAACAGTGGTTTTTACCCTCTGGTAAAGAAGAACAGATTCCTATTAAAAATGGCCATTTATAGTGGGTTTACCATGATTTACCTCTTTAAAATCATGGTTTCCCGTGGCTATGTTAGTTTACCAAAGGGTAAGTGGAACTGGAACCAAGGTCCAATCAGTGACTTTCCATCCGAACAGCTTCCTGATTGGAAAGCTGTTGACACTCTTGGATGGTGACCGATTTTAAAAAATAGCCTCAGTCAGGCTTTGACGTGGGTAGAAACAGAAACATTGTGATGGTCAAAGAGTCAAAGCTATGAAAAGTTTCCCGGAAACCTCCAAGATGGTCACCCATCATCACGACCCCGGCAGAATGATTGGCTCTGGAGTACTGAATCATTTTCAATAGCATAGGCCCCAAAAAGACATAACAGGTTCAAGTGATCACTATTTAGAAATGGATTGTATGATACTTTATGTGTCTATCTTTCAGGGGGATGCTATACTCATCTGTACAAATCAGGCATTGTTCATTGCGTAGAAAATCGGTCAAACTGATCCAAGCGATGTCCCTTCAAACCCTTCAAGCACCAGCCTGGACATTTTGCCCCTCTCATCCTGCTTCTGCATGACAATTTCCCTGGCAATCTGGATTCTTTTGGGGAGAAGGGCCATTTTCTAGATGCAGCTGAGAAGGGCCGTTGTTTTTTTCGGGTCAACATTTGGAAAGACACACACAGTGAATGACTGAAACGTGCAAAAACTTTCTTTGAACTTTTGGAAATTGGAAAAGAGAACGAAAATACGAAAGAGATGTCATCATGTGGCAACGCTATGGCAATGTTTTTTGTGCGACCAGATGAGTTCTATCCTCTTGAATGAAACTCGGTGTCACTAGAATCACTAGAACGAATGGATGGACAAATTGTCTTCACCTTCATCTGGGTTTGTCTGAGAATAGGGTACCCCATTCCATCCAGTGGTTTATCATTTTGCCGACTGAAATTGACATTTTGGGGGTATCCTCTTTGTGCTTGGTGCTAGCGGATGACATCCTGCTGGTTGTCATGGCTTTCTCATGGCTGGCTGGCAGTTTGTGGCAAAAATCAATGAACATCTTGTCAAATAGGCATACTTCAAATGTGTAGAGAGCAAAGAAACAAGGCTAGCGGCTGGATATTTTCATGAGCATGATGCATCCACCTACATACCTTAAAGTTTGCTGATTGGATAAACATGCCGCTTGGATTGCCAGCTGGTAACTCCACTGTTGGTCGTATCCATCATTCTATTGGTGAATATCGCGATTAGATTCGATTAGTTCATATCCAATTCTGAGAGAGACAGGGAGATCAAACATGATATATATATATATACATACATATATACACATGCACATTGTATCTATACATATATATATATACCTTCTCTCTGTCGTTTCTCCCATTGTTCTAAGGACAAATTGTGCAAGTTCCAATTTCTTGTTGCCTTAAGGTCGCATGTCTTGTCACAGCAAACTGACGAGAATGGACACTGGTCCATATCTGGTCCATTTCTAGTGCATTTCCGAACCGGAGATCATGGCTTGTCCATATGGAGGTTTCCGGAAATCAGGCTACCCCATTTCATGATCCATAATTTCATGGAATTGTCCATGAAATAAACCATCCAGCCAGCTATTGGGGGTACCCTCTGGTAATTTAACATAGCTATTGAAAATGGCCATAGAAATAGTGGAATTTCCCATTAATAGCATGGTGATTTTCCATAGTTATATATGTTAGTTTACCAGAGGGTACCTCCATGGAAATCCCCAATATTTTTTGTTCAACGCTTACCCTCCTCACGTGCTGAGGGGGGCTGGCTCCACCTCTTCTTGTCCACCTGCACGAAATGTTCGACGAAAAACAGCTGGCTGAAATAAAATCTGGAGCATAGACAGATGGGGCATGGATATATCTATTCATAGTGGTTCCTATTACCATTCATATAATGGATATTGATTTTTAAAGAGGGTAATAGATATCTATAGATTGTCAATATCCATTCATAGTGGTTAATATCTACTAGTGGGCAATAGTGAAATTCATATGGATTACCCTCTGGTTACTGGACATAGCAAAGCCATGACCATGTTTTGAATAGATGATAAAATATTATATATATATATTATTCACCTAGCTATAAAATATAAAATGGTAATTGTTCATGTCTATGTGAATATATATATATACACATCTATGTATATATATATATATATGTATATTGGATTATATTGGACTATATTGGTATACATGCAAAAATACATGCAAAAACAAGTTGTCAATGTGTGACGTTTCGCTGGCAATTTGGGGGAGTGTGGATTCCTAGGAATAGCTTTGATCGATCTGGAAAAACACAACATTCACAAATGTTCTGCATCAGAAATCCTCTGGTGAAGTTACACAACCTTTAAAAATGTTCTGCATGTGTCCTTTTCGTATAGCATCCTTTTGGCATAGCATCTATCAAACAAAGCTGGCCGACCTCCTACTATATGCCACTTACATACCTGGTTTTTCCCATTGGTTGGTTGATTTTCCAGTTTCCAAACAAACCCCTTTTACAAATCAACCAACCAATGGCAATGGGAGATGGTTTCTTCGACAGAGCCGCCTGCAGCATCTTCTCTTGAAGTTGCCCTTCCTTACGGATCTGCTCTTCGTTCTCCTGAAAAAATGCGGTGCGGAAATTGAGAAAGGACACAGATGTCAACTGCTTGGTGGTTTCAACCTAATGGTTGGTTAATAATGGTTAATAATGGTGAATGATGGTTAATAATTGTTAAACAATTTTGATTTTTTTGGACACTCCTCAAACATGGCAATGAAGTTTCAAAAAGTCCAATGGTTTTCCTGTAAACAAAAACACCATTTATAGAAATTGTTCATTTGAGATGTCAATGGTTCTTATACCTCAAACCAAAGGACAATGAAAATAAAAGTCCAATGGAGTCCAATGGTTTTTTCCTATGAAGACACCATGTTTTTTGAGGGCAAATGAGCCAGGTTCGATTACCGGTAGGCTAGTTCATCAAACATCTATGGAGTGACAGGAAACCATGGTCTTGAGCGATAAATCCAGGGGGGTCCAATGTTCCCTCCAATTCTATGAGGAAATCGGAGACCCCCAGCTTGGAGGGTGAGAAGTTGGCATGTATGGACATGTATAAAGTGTGCATACATCAAGTAAAGATATCATGTGTATGTCATTACCACATATATATATGTATGTGATTGTATGTGTATGTACTGATCTGTCATGTATTTCCCCATCTGTTGGTACGCTATGGGTCCAACGTTGCGCTGAACGACGTCCTTGACCAAGGAGCTATGTTGTCGCAGTTGCCCCTGAGGTCCAAGGGGATGAACCGGGCGGTTTCCATAGGAATTTGGGGCTACCCGAAGCGAGCTGGCTGGATGGTTTACTTCATGGAAAATCCATCTATAATATGAATATTTAGGAATTTTCCATGAATGATTTAGGAATTTAGGAATTTTCCATAAATCTATATATATATAGATCTTTATATGAATGATTTAGGAATTTAGGGCTACCCCCATTTCAGGAAACCTCCATATATCTATATATATGATAAAAAGGCACAAAAAGAAAACTAGATCAGTCGCTCCCCTTGCCTCGGGTCGAGGCAGATCGTCCACGTATGGGAAAAAAAATACCAAGATTTGCACCAAACACCACTGTCATGTAGGTATACCATGCATGGATGGTGTATATGATGGTAGCATATTCTATCAATCTACATGCATATTCTATCAATATATATATAGTATATTATATTATATATAAGTATATGATCTACAATGTGTATGTATATATATACACATGTGTGTGTGGAAGTCCATTCAGTCACTCAGCGGAGCCGCTACCCACCTACTTTCCCCTTGTCGCCGCGCCTTCATGTCGATCTCCATTCGCTTGGCTTCTTTTTCAAAGAGCGACTCCAACATGGACAAGAACTGCGCGGTGTGAAACAACGCAGTTCTTGGGTCATTTTTAGATTGGATTCTCACATCAAAACTTGCCCAAACCATCGAACAAATCCCAATAAAGCAACCATAAAAATGTAAATCTACCATTGGATTGGATTTTTCATGGAACAAAACCATTCAAAACCCCAATATCAGATGGTGAAGATCCCATTTCTTCCTCACCATGAAACAACAACATTTGCGACCGAGCCGCAGAGCCTTCAATTACTTCCATCCCATGTGTCAGAACATGTGTTGTCCATATCTTTTTCGTAACCAGAGGAAAAAAAAGACGTGAGATAATTACTATGTCATGGCCATGTTCTTAGAGAAACATACTATAGATATAGATATACGTATATTACTGGTTGGTGGTTTCAACCCCTCTGAAAAATATGAATTCGTCAGTTGGGATGATGACATTCCCAATATATGGAAAGTCATAAAAGTATATAAAAGTCATGTTCCAAACCACCAACCAGTTATGATAATTTATCTATGCGTTGTTGAATGGAGGGAACCCTCTACTATATACCCTCTGGTAAATTAACATAACCATGGAAAATCACCATTTTTAATAGGGAAACTCACTATAAATGGCCATTTTCAATAGCTATGTTAGTTTACCAGAGGGTATATGTATATATATATAACATATAGCATTAAAAAAAACAAAGACAATGAGATAGTTACTATGTCATGGCCATGTTCTTACAGAAACATACTATATATATATACATATATGGCAGTGTGTCAAAACCTTGTACCCCTGTAGTTCACATCAAAATAGCTGGCAAATGGATGTTCATCCCACTAAAACTGGTATTAATAGGTATTGACCCATACCCATATGTAAACATACAACTAGAATAACATATATAACATGGCCATTCCACATGTCAATTTCTTCCCCGCCTGCGCGCTTTGCGCACCCGGAAGGTCACCCTTCTTGGCGTTCTCGGCGATGACCTGTCGATTTAGCGAAATAGCCTCGTCATCAAATATGGCTGGGAAATACCCACCGGGAACTTAACAGTTTGCTATTGAAAATGGCCATTTATAGTTAATATATGTTAATATACCTATGAAACATGGTAATTTTCCATAGCCATGTTAGTTTACTGGCAGGGTACCCCAACGAAATATGGGGGGTTGAAGGGAAAAATCATCCGTTATAAACTTGATTTACTGATTAATAGTTGGGAAATGCTGTTATGGAAAAATATGAGAACAACCCCTATGAATGGAGGTTTATAGCTGGGAAACTCATTTGTGCAAGGAGCACGCCATGTTTGATTACTGGAGAGTACAGTATCTAATATTGGTATGTTTGTTATGTAATCATTGGTATAACATGTAAATATATTGGTTTATATCATATATCATATAAATGTGTATATCATATATAATATATGGCTAACATTGCCATATTATATATGGTGTAATTATATCTCATGTCTATATATTAGTGTGCATATCATACATATTGATCATACTGTGTAATATCTACATACATATATGTATGTGTATATATACCGAGGGAGAGGTATACACCACCAGAACCTATGTGGGTATGTGTTAAAACCCTGCTACCAGTATGCTGCTGAACTCCAACATAGTTTGTAAATGGATGTGCATCCCCTCAACTCAAAAATGGAATTGTATATAGTATATATATATATAGTGTATAACCCAAAAAATATGGAATTGAATGGAATTGAGTTGTGGATTGGTAAGAGCCCTTGGATTTCCGCTGCTACAACCAATCAATCTTCAGCTTCCCAGAGGTCCAAGCTTTTCCTTGCTTACCCTCTGGTGAACTAACAGTTCGCAATTGAAAATGGCCATTTATAGTGGATTTTCCCATTAAAAATGGTGATTTTCCATTGCTATGTTAGTTTACCAGAGGGTAAACCATCTGAAACCCCTCATGTCTTTGATTGAAGATATCCATTCAATCATCTTCAAGCCGCCTAGATTTAAGCATCTTACGGCATCTGGAAAAACATCCGGTAAACGTTTTGAGCGAGCGTCGGAAAGCATCTGAAAAAACCATCTTTCTTATCAATCTTAAGCCATCTTAGGCCATCTAAAACCATCTTAAACCATCTTAAACCTCTTCCTGGCTCTTCCGAAATAAACACGTATAAACATATTCTATCCATTCAAACACCCCTATCCTCACAACAAAAAACCGGCCCTTTCGGCTTTTGGTCACCTTGGCCCTCTCGGCAAGAACTTGGGAAAATCGCTCCTCCCACGGGTGATTTGGTTGGTTCATACAGGAAAACCTTGACGGATATTCAAGGATATAAACCATATATAATGTCAATGTCAGCTATAAATACATACATACATACATATATATATATATAATATGTATATATATATATAGTATGTATATATATATATAATATGTATATTATATATATATGATGTGGATCAACATTTATATTCAAGGTGAGCCCCCAAACCTTATGTTTGTTGGTTTGGAAACCCCATATACTAGTTCGTTATATCAGCCATAATGCGTACTTAACCAAGTTAGAAGTCAACTTAGCTGTCTTGGGGGAGTCACGTGGTTCATATAAAAGTCACGTTGTTTATATAAATATGTATAAATATGTAGAACAGTGATTCTTCAACTTATCTATGTGGTTTTAATGGAATTTTATGAGGACGCAATGGGATATCACCGGCAATTCTGGGCCAAAATTGGGATTTTTCAGAGGGAAACTACTGCTTTTTGTGGGAAAATAATGCTTAACCACTGGATTTACAGGTACCATCTTTAGACCAGGGGAAACGGTGGTTAGGAGCCTATCTATGCCATGCTGGATCTTGGACATTGTTGACAAATCGCTACAACCCAACTAATGGCTACATGTTCAGTACCAAGGACTACTGTCTATCATCCAATCTTGCATCATTTGGATTTGTCCCAAAATAGAGTACCCCCCAAATTCCACTGCTTTGTCATCCCTTTTTCCCCTTAAAAGGCACCGACCAGTGGCTTAAAACAAGGCCAGCAACTGGAACTTGGCGGAAGCATTTCCAGTGAAGTATGGAGCGGACCTGTTTTCTGCAGAACCACGAGATCAAAACCAGATCCAAACCAGATCCAATGGCCACAAAAATGGTTTAGCAGAATGGCGTTGCAGATCTGAGTTATCTCTGTTTGGTCTTGTCTAAAAATAGGGTACTCCTTATTTCAACGGGCCAGCTTTAAAGCCTCACGTTCCACCTTTCTTCATGGCCACTTTTCTTGTTTCCATTGGGTGTTTGCCCCATCGAAAGCCAGGCGCCAACGTCGTAGTGTCCGTCCTTCCGTTTCTTCTCATAATGTTCAAAGCGAAGCTGATGTTTCTCCTGGCGACGTACACCTACAAACTGGGGCCCCCGAATTTACGATAGCTAAGTTGGTGCAAAAAACTCCAATAATTATGGTTTATGATACTTGTAACTATAGTTCATGGTGGTTATAAGCCAACTTATAACAAAAAAACACTTTCTGAGGTTCTG